ATCTCATAGATCAGCTCTAGCAGGATTTCTGCAATGACAGGCACGGTCTTTTAATATGGTAGCCATGAGCCACATGTGGCTATTGACCACATGAAACGTGCCTCGTACCCCTAAGGAACTGAATCTCTAATTTGACTTAATTAATTTACACTCAAATAGCCACATGTGGCCAGTGGTACCATACTGGAGAGTGCACATATAGAGGTTTATGTAGATCATGTTGTAAAATGCTACAAACAATGTCTTCAGTAAAGGATTTTAAGACCGCCGAGATCTCCAGGCTACTCTCTATCCATTTGCTAGGGCGGCTATAACAAAATATCATATGCCGGGTGGCTTAAACAAGAGAAATTTCTCTTCTCACAGTTGTGGAGACTGGGGGTCCCAGATGAGGGTGTCGGCAGGGTTTGTTGTTTTCCGGAGCCCCTCTCCTGTGCCTGCAGACGGCCATCTTCTCACCGTGTCCTCACATGCTTTCTCTGTGTGCACATCCCTGGTGTCTCTGTGTGTCCTAATCTCCTCCTCTTAGAAGACACCAGTCAGACTGGATTAGGGCCCACCCCAAGGCCCCATTTTAACCTGATTCTTTAAAGGCCCTATTTCTGGGGCACCTGGGTGGCTCCGTTGGTTAAGCGTCCAACTTCGGCTCAGGTCATGATCTCACATTTCGTGAGTGCGAACCCCGCGTCGGGCTCTGTGCCGACAGCTCAGGGCCTGGGGCCCGCTTCAGATTCCGTGTCTCCCTCTCTGTCTCTCCGCCCTTCCCCTGCTCACACCATGTCTCTCTCTCCCTTTGTCTCTCTCTCTCTCAAAAATAAATAGACATTAAAAAAAAATAAAAAATAAATAAAGGCCCTGCTTCTAAATACAATCCCATCTGAAGCACTGAGGATTAGGGCTTCCACACATGAATTTGAGTGGATGCATAATTCAGCTCGTAACAGTTCTCCCTGTGCTATTAGATGGCAGGTGGGAAAAGACATTTTATCTTGTTACTTTTTTTTATTTTAGAGAGAGAAAGGGCAAGCCCATGAGCAGGGGCGGGGGAGAGTAGAGGGGAGAGAGACAGAGAGAGAGGGAGAGGGAGAGAGAGGGAGAGGAAGGGAGGGAGGGAATCCCAAGCAGGCTCCACACTCAGCGCTCAAACCCACAACCCTGGGATCACGCCCTGAGCTGAAATCGAGAGTCAGACGCTCAACCAACTGAGCTGCCCAGGCTCCTCAGGAGAAGACATTTTTAACCAGAGGCAACAGCGACATAGTCCAGGTGTATGTTATTAGTGTCATACTGGGACCAGGAAGGGCTTCTGGGAATTGAAGGGGTCAGATGGTACCAGGTTCCTTGGGCCACACTCTCTAAGAGGAATCGCCTCACCGAGAACGTCAACTGCTCCTCTCTGCTTGGCAGTGACCGCCTAAGGGATTTGATTCCATTGACCGAACCAGCCTTATCTCCTCCCCTCCTTAGTCAGCCACCTCTGCCGTGTTTAGCTCAGACTCTCAACCCCAACGACCCCATACTCACCCCTGCTTCTGAGATTTTGTCACTGTCCCTCATGCTCATAATCCCTTGTTGTTTTTTTTTAACCCCAACATCAGGGAAAGAATTCGTATCCCTCCAGCCTCAACCAAGCCCCACCTCGTTCTCAGAACCACCTCTGAGCATTCGTTCTCACTTAACATTATTCTCTCTAGCTCTTGAATCCAGGTTGCACTTGAAAGCAGGACCCCATGACTAAACACCTCAGTGTTGTCTCAGAAACTAAATCATGAACTTAAGGGTCGGGGAACGAGACGTCTGTCTCTTTTGTAGACTCGACATCATGAAAGAGTACTAGCACACAGTAGGTCTCAGTAATGTCACTACTCTTGGTTGACAGATACATATATATATCTTTCATCCTTTTCCCACCTCTGAACTGTTTGGAAAGAGGAGCTTTTTTCCAACTTAATGTCCTGCTGCACGTTTAATATCTGGAGGCAAATCTGATGCCGGAACATCTCTCTCTGCTCCGTGTATTAAATCTATAATAAAGTCAAAGATAGATGGCTAGAAAGAAACCCTAAATCGTTTCTGAAATTATTAAATCTTCTAGTCTGAGGGCTCGGAGAGCCCAAGAAAATTTTCTTTTAATCCCTATGGGCTTTCCGTTCCATCGATGAAGTTACACAGCTAGCCTGAAAAGCAATTTTGTGAAATCATTTACCGAAGGGGAGGGGAAACATCGTTATGGTCATCCTTCTGCGGTTGGCAAGTAATAAGCATGCTCTATTCTCCTCTGGCCCAGGACAGCTGCATGGGCTTGAGAAATAGCTGGGTTTTGCCCCAATGCAGCTCTAAACAGATGTCTGCAAATATCGTCGGAAAAGAACCCTCGGAAAGTCGGTGGGTGTGACTGATGAGTGGCTGTGGACGTTTTTGTTGGCAAACAGGCAACAGCTGTCGGTCTCCCCTTTGTGGGTGACTAGCTTTTGAGAGGAACCTATAATTCCTTTGTTTTCCTCGTAACTATCTCAACCAATATGACTTCTTTTAAAGCAGTGTTTCTCACCTAGTTCCAGTTTCGCCCCTGTTCCCTATCCCATTCAGGGGACATTTGACAGTGTCTAGAGATATTTTTTATTGCCACAGCTGGTGTCTGACCAGAGATGCTGCTAAACTTCCTGCAATGCCCAGGACAACCCCACCCCTAGCAAAGGATAATTCAGCCAAAATGTCAATTGAGCCCAAGTTGTCTTAAAGTAATAATACCTTGTTTTAGTTACGTCTTGTTCACTCATTCATTTATTCATTCAACAAAAATTTACTGTTGAACGTAGAAAATACCCAGTTAGTCATATTTCTGTATATTGCCAGACTCATCAATCCACTCACGTAATGTGTGTTTATTGAGTATTGACTCCAGGCCAGGCACTGGGGTCCTAAATGGCACAGTTGGGGTCCTTCCTCATCTGGGGTTTACTTCCTTGTGGAAGGGAGGCAGAGCCTCAACAAGTCAACAGATGAACAAGATGGTTTCTTTTTTGTTGTTGTTTATTTTTTTATTTTGAGATAAAGAGAGTGTGGGAGAGAGGGTGAATGGGAGGAGGGCAGAGGAGAGAGAGAATCCCAAGCAAGCTCTGTGCTGTCAGCGTGGAGCCCGATGTGGGGCTCGGTCTCACGAATCATCTCTTAGCCCTGACCTTGACTACCTCCAGTTTTCTCTCTGTCCTTGACCACTGAGAACCGGTACCCGTGTAGTCCAGCCCGTCTACACCACTGAGATACCACAGCCAATACCGTACGGATGTCTGACTCGGTAAATTAAAACGTTTTCAAGAAGAGTATAACAGTAAGCTAGCCATCTTGGAAATGACACAGCGGAAGGAATGCCTGATTATCTGATTTAAGAAGCAGCTGAATCACAGTGACCATCTGCAAAAGAAAAAAGACTGGAAGGAAGCAAACCAAAATGTGATAGTGTTAGCCAGTCTCTGGAGTGTGGATTTGATGTTCATTTTGTCCTTACACTTTTGTTCTTAATTTACGAGTTTCCTACAATAAGCATATATTTCTTTCACCATAAGACACAAGGGTTTTGGTGATTGGTGTTTGTTTGTTTTTTTTTTAATTTTTTTAATGTTCATGTATTTTTGAGAGAGAGAGAGACAGAGCATGAGTGGGGGAGGAGCAGAGAGAGAGGGAGACACAGAATCCGAACCAGGGTCCAGGCCCTGAGCTGTCAGCACAGAGCCCGACACAGGGCTCGAACCCACAAACCGTGAGATCATGACCTGAGCTGAAGTCGGACGCTTAACCGACTGAGCCACCCAAGGGCCCCGGTTGTTGGGTTTTTTTAAAGACCATTCATGATTCTGCAAGATCAGAGAAGCATATACAGCATCCAGAACCAGTCCCATTTGATTACACATGGAGCCTCACAAAGTTTTTTGGGAGGCAATTTCTGTGCTCAGGGAAGCCATTGGATTTTGGCCAACCTAGTTCATTAGGCAAATAGCACCAGCTTTATTTCCAGGACAATACCTACCCTCTGTTCCATAGACCATTATGTTTGTTAGCTTTTTTCAAGGATGTCTGTGATTCCCAAAAGTACAAAAAAGTTCTTGTACTGTAAGGCACTCACCCATGCAAAATGCAAAAGCCACACAAACACAAAACACATTCCCACATATTTTAAGATCTTTCTCAGGGGCTCCACGGCTTCCCACAGCCAACAGCCTGACCTAGGAAGATTTCTCAGTGAGATGCCCCTTGAAATCTAGGCTTTACTTCTTTATTTTCTCCCCACAGATAGCTACCACGACTGGCTTCCCAAATGTCCAAAACTTCCCCGATCCTGGAGAATTTCCTAGACCTGGCCTCCACCTAGCACATTCTACCTGCTGCAGTGAAGGTTACATTAGGGATTCTTGTTTTGTTTTGTTTTGTTTTGTTTTGTTTTGTTTTGTTTCATGATTAAGGAACGCTCTCACACACTAGAACTTTTGGCAGATCGGTTAACGAAAACGGCCCAATACCAGATCCGATGATTCATGAATAATTACAATGCCCAGTGTGACAGCCAACAGCATCTCGCCCCCCAGGGTCTCCAAGCATCTGGGTTTAGCACACAAAACATTTCAGCTCTGAGCCATGGTCTGCCCCAACCTGGATGTCCTATGCCCACAAGGTGATAATGTAAATGATGTTGCAGCCATATCCATACCTTCTTAGAACCCCGGTGGATCGTCCACACCCATTAAAACTTGATGGCCTGAGAGGGATTCATGGTACAAACAGTAGGCTGAGGCACATGGGTTGAGAACCACTATGGAATTCAAAGTGTTTCTTACATCTAAAGCGTGATACGGTAGGACAATGACTTTTAGGACTGTCATTTGAAACGAACAAACCTGGAGAATAACCTTTGCATGAAAGATTATTTTTATCCCGGCCGCCCAAATCTCCCTGGACTAAAAACAGATTAATTGCTGGGGGGAAACAAAACCCACCACTCTTACCTCCTCCAGGGCCCAAAGGGAGTCGACCACGGGCTTGATCTTCTTCTGGTTGTAGAGCTCAGTGAGTTTGTCCACTACTCCTCGAATGAGGCCCGCACGGCCCTGTTTGAAGAGCAGGTTTAAAAGGGAAAATCCTGCGATGACTTTGTTCTCTTCATAGAGCTTGATGGGGTTCACCTTCTCGACCTGCCACCACTGGAAGGAGAGAAGGTGTCGGTTACAGGGAACCGGAGCCGGTCGTGGTCACAGCCTTGTGGGCGGCGGACGGGGCCCCAGTGTGGCGGGTTCCAGGCGGCCAAATGGTGGCCCGTGTTGGGGTCATTTTTAAAGCAGCTCTCCAGCCAGTGTTGTGAGGGCACGGTGACGCTTAGGAGCAGAGCACGGGGGTCTAGGCAGGGGCAAGAAGCCAACTTTCTGAAAACAACCATCAGGCCTCGTGTCATCGGGACGTGAAGGCCCCGGGTTAGGACGGTCCGCGCTGGAGTTGGGTCCTGGCTGCACCACTCGAACCCCTGTCCTTCTGTGTGCTTCGTTTCCCTCAGCTACGGACAGGGGCCGGGTACTGCCTCTCAGCTTTCTGGGAGAGTTTGGTGTATGAACGGTGGTGGCAGTGACGGGGTTGGGGAAGGGGCAGGGTGGCAGCGAAGGCCGCCGAGTGTGGTGGGGACTTGGTGGGACGATGATGCAGCCACAGGAGTGGCGTTCTAGGGCAATAAGGGCACGCCTGGAGAGCTGGGTAGGAATCCAGCAGAGAGAGAGTAAGGGAGCATAACCCAGGCAGAAGAAATAGTGTGACGGAACTGTGAAGCCACTGGGATGGGATTAAGCCAGTGGTTCTCATCTGAGGGAAGTGTTACTCCCCATGGGACAATCTGGTCGTGTCTGGGGATGTTTTTGTCGTGGGGACTGGAAGGGAGAGGCATCTGCTGGCATCTAGTGGGTGGAAGCCAGGGATGGTGCTGAACATCCTACAGTGAGCAAGACAGCCCCTCATGATAAAGAGTAGTCCAGCCCAAGATGCCAGTACCACTAAGGTCCTAGGTGGGGGACACCCACGTGACAAGTGTGACTCTCTCTCTTTTCCAGCCTCTCATCCCCCAGGCCAGACATGACAATAAGAAAACAAAAAACCCATGAACAGACTGCAGAAATGGTTATCCAACGGTTTTGTTCTGGTTTAACTGCATCTTCTTTGGTGCTGGTTAGAATTTAGAAATTCCAAGTTCTAGTTTCTAGAAGGTTGTAACGCAAAATGGTTAACGGTTTAATGCACAGGCCAAGAGGCATGTGATGGGTCCTTAGGAACATTCCTAATGTTTACGTTACTGGTATGTTTATTTACATCCTGCCTTTCCTGGATCCCAAAAGCTCCCAAAAGCTCACAAAAGATTTTGGTATGTTTTTTTAAGCGGGAAAATCATATTGTTAGGAACATACGTGTGAGAAAGACAAGTTGAAAACAGGGATAAGATGCACACACAAAATTCTTTACTAAGGTACACTCCCTGAGGGCCCAGAGGCCAGCTCTAGGAGAGACATTTATTTGGCCATGGGCTGCTTGCGGCAAAAACAAAGCAGAGAAATGATTAATGACTTGTTTCACGGTGCATCTGCAATGTCTCGGTAAATGTTTGGAAACGAGTGCCTGCTAACTCTGCGATTTCTGCACAGTTGTAGTTCAGTGGGCTCCAGAGCCTGGCTTTGAATCCCACTTCTGCCACTTAATAGCTGTGCAACTTGAGGCCAGCCACTTAACCTCTCTATGCTAAGTTTCCCTACTGCACCTCATGGCATCATCGTGAGGAGTAAATGTGTCAACATATACAAAGTCCTTACAACAGTGTCTGACCTGGAGTAGGTCTGTATATAGACCTATAAATATAAATATAAAATATTTCTATAAATATAAAATATTTCTGTTATCTTAAGTTGGAAGGGATCTTTTTGATTTAGCGGAGAGTTCTGGATTTGGAGTCAGGTTGCTTTCTAGGTGTTAACCGTCGTGAACCATCTTTATGGTCTAAAAGCAAACGGCATGTTTGGCCAAGAGCGAGTTCGAGTTCTGCAAGGGTTTTAAGGTAGAACATACTTAGGACATCTGAGTGAGAAATTCTTGTACGGTTCCAAGTATGCCTTTAATTTCTAAGCCTTTCTCCAATGTATAGAAGAAAATTCCTTTCTAGAACCTTCTAGAACAAAGTCATCGTTCCACTCCTTGGCACGCCCTACCTTCATGTTGCTTCCATCTGACCAACCAATACTGGGCCAGGCCCCTGAAAGGTAGTTCTTCACCCCCCATATTTAGCTTTCTTGTGATCGGCACCCCCGTTTCAGGCAGGAGAGTCTCAACCTCCCTCCTGGCGGTGTTTTTACGAGAGCTTTCACTGAACCTGGGCCCACGGCAGTCATTGCATTAACACCGTGTGCTGTGATTGTGCGTTTGGGGGAGACAGGGAAAACATTCTTCCAGTTGCTTGCAATTTGGGTCAACGTGGTTACCCACAGCAGGCTGTCGGCATCACGTTAATTACAGCCACAAAACAGCTCTGAGCGGCATGAAGCCTGTCTTCAGAGGACTTGCTGCTCAGACAGCATCCCTCGTCACACCCCGTGCTTGCTCCCTTGCAGATTCTGTAGTTGCAACGCTCCTTGACCTGAATGCTGAAGTTCAAACGCAAAGACAGCCTCTTTACTTCTACTCGCACAGGACAGGGAGTACTGATCATTCCAGAACCAGGGAATGTTCGGGGGTGAAGCCTTTCGCAGCCAGTGTTGGCCACTTAAGGGACACATGAATACCCCAGGGTGCCACACTTAGAATCCTTTCTAAAACCCTCTCTACGGCTTTCCCTGGCCACCCTATTCAAAAATGCCTCCACTCCATCCTGCACCCTGTTTTCAATCCCTTTCAGAGTTCTTATGACCATAATGATAATCCTCTTCTTAATTCTGTTTTACTTGTTTCAGTCTGTCTCCCTCATTAGAAGGTAGGAGGCCCAAGGGGCTGCAATGAACCCATCTCATTCACTGCAATACTCTGGTATCTTGCACACAGGGTAGGTGCTTAGAAGATGCTTGCAAAGTGAGTGAGTCCATCAGTGCTACCCTGGCTGCTGTGGAGGAGGAGGAGGAGGAGGAGGAAGAGGAGGAGGACAGGGAAGGAGGAAGAGAGGAGGGGAGAGGAGAGGAGAGGAGACAAAAGCAAGCTCTCACAGGAAGCAGAATTCCCTGTTGAGGGGGCAGCGGTAAAAATTAAAGTTCAAGCCCAAATAAGTTGATTCTAGCAAGTGTTTGCTCTAGGTGAGAATATAGATCTGGATAGTTTGGAATGCCCGGGGATGTGGCTTCTCAATTGCAAAGTAACCGTTACATGCAGAGCATGATTATTGAAGCTCTTGAAGCTACTGAACACAAAAATCTGCCTGTGTCCTAAATCACCCTGGAGACTTGCTAAAATTGGGGGATCCCATTTGTATCTCCAGCTCAGTAGAACGGAGATACAGAGAAAATCTTAAGAACCACCCCCCAGAGACCCAGTCAGAAAGTGGCCACACTCAAGGTTGGTTTCTCCACGGAGCAAAGAAGATGCATGAAATGCCAAGTTTATTTTTGACCAGGGGTAAGAAACACAAAAACTCACGCAAACTCTGCTGAAATCAAAATAAAGCTTTTTTGAGTTTCTCTGAGGCTCGCACCTCTCTGCTTCGTTTAGACAAAGCAGCCAGGCTATGCACAAGGTCTTGCCCATGTGTAAGGAGCATGATGGGAATGCGGTCTCTATTGAAAAAGAATGACACGGAGGACGGACACACCAGATTTAGGTTATTAGGTCAATGTCTTTACATGGAGGAGCTCACAACACACAAATCACCACACTACCTACCACAGTACATTTGACGTGTGTGGATACTTACCGATTTGGCAAAGCTAAAGAAGCTCTTGGTCTCTCCAGTCACCATGTTGGATGAACCTGCAAATGAAGCATTCCCAAGTCAAGCTATTGCTAATGAAAATCAGCATCTCTTGCCACACATGGAAGAACAGCAACTGTTTGGTCCAGAAGTGCCAAGAGCTTGAAAATAACTTCAATTTGGCCTCGGAACAAGGGGGGAAATGGAGAGGATGGGTGGCGTCAGGTTGACTTAATTTGAGCCAAGTGTCATGGGATCAGAGAAAGTACTATTTGTCAAGGTGACCCTGCCATTACTTTGGAAAATTGGGCACGTAGCAAAAATGTGACTTAGGCCCACACTCTAATGAAATGATGAGTTCCTGAAATGTCTTATTGGTTCCATTCTTCGAGACTGGAGATGAAGTCTTAGGTGAGCCCAATTCATGGTCTGAATTCGATTCCTTCACCAGTTAAGGGGCTCTGATCTGGGCTGGGCACTTAAGTGGCAGGGAGAGGTGGGGCTGAGTTAGAAGTTAGACGGGTGGAAAAAATGGGGTACAGAAGAGCTAATGAGGGTGAAATAGGTTCACGAGCCAAGGAAATGATGTGACCGACATACCAGCTCCAAAGAAATCTGAGCAGGAAGGTCAAAACCGCTTGAGACAAACGGTGCGAGAAATGGAGATTTGCTGATGGGAACACGCAGTATTCGACGGGAGGATGAGGGAGGGAATTAGGAGGATTTCCTACGATGTTCTTACAGAGAGAAAAAGCTCCCTTTGTGTGGTTCCTGGGGGTAGGGAGTGGATGAGAGAGCTCTTAACAGTTCAGATGCCACATTGGTGTCTTTTCAACAACTCTGTTGCCTTGTCCCCAAAGATTGGGAATAAGTCCTTCTTAGTCCTTTTCCACTAGTGAATGAAAAAACAGTGTATATTCTGAACCTCATTATTTGGCCTGTGTCATCTAGTAGCCAGTTATTCAATCACTGCTTCTGTTTTTATCACCAAGCAGGACGGTACTCGGCTCTCGTTACCTAGTAACTGATGCAATCAACTAGATGCTACGTGAGACGGTCAAATTATGTTCTTCCAAATGGCATCATGGAACTGGGGCAAAAACAGAACTGGCAAATAAATAAGAATGAATAAACTGTCCGTCTAACATTTGACTCACATGTTAGCGTTAGTATATGTGCTCCCGAAGCGAGTACAGCTCACATGTTCATCATATCTGGTATCCCCGCATCGTGCACTGACGCTCACAACTCCTTTTATCAATAGTGGGAATGGGTAAAGAATCACGCATCCACCTCCAAAGACTTTCAGCTGTGTGACCGCTATTGAAAATACTGCAACGCTCCAGCAATGGGAAGCTTATCTCCTCTCTTTCCGTCATAACGATGATGACAAAAAGATGCTCGAATATTTCTACCTCTCAAATAACTCTTTAAGAAGCTTCTCAGCGAATAGCAGGGAAATGAGCATCTTTTTCTGAGTTCCACAGAGCAAAGGCTCAACTTGCTATCAGACCGACAGGGGACAGAAGTGCTAAAACTCTCAAACGTTGGATAGCCCCAGGATCACTGGGCATTAGAATGTGATATCTGGCTTCAGAGATGGTTTTTTGACTTTGTAGAGACTCATGTTGACATTAGTTTACAATCGTGTGACAGAAGAGAGAAAGAAGAGAGGACGAAGGTCTGGGGTCTCATTTTGCTGGAGAAAATCTACCAGAGAACTTTCATAAATTCCCGCTCAAACTCAAGAGCGTTATCAGGGAATGTGCTCCAGCCATCCAGGGCTTCTTTGGAATTAGGACACACAGGAGGAGTTGAGAAGAGGAAGAGGCTGTGCTTTGCAAATTCATCTCCGATGGTGGAGAATCTCCCTTAAAACCCCCATATCCTTGCCGCCTCCTCCCGTCCTACTGTGGGTCCTTGATTCCTTCATTTTTTTTGGACTTCCTCCGAAGCCAGTACTATTTCCCACCTGGGCCACCTTCTGTGGGTCAAGTCCTATCTCAATGGCTACACCAGCTTGGTCTTGCTTTACCCCTTTTGGAATGAGAAGTATTCATGGGGTTAACAGGCCAATAGGCATATGCGCTTGCCTTTATAATTGAAAATAACTACTGGCAATAGCGAGACTATGGAAAACATTTAAAAATTAAGCCCCCCCCCCGTCTCGCTACCCCAACACATCAACACAAGGCATTTGTCAGTGCCTTTGTAAGCACAGGTGCAGTTCCCCCTGTTGTAGACCGTATCTCTGCTTCTCTTCGGCACTTACCATATAAAATATAGGTTCCCAGTGGTTTGAGAAGGCTGAGACCTTTTCCAGTGTTGTCCCCGCAGAGGCAGTCCAGTACAATGTCCACTCCTTCCGCAGAGATTCTAAAAGGTGTGAAGACAAAGTAAGAGAGATACTGTAACGCTCATGTTAGGGACCAAACCAGGAACAGCAAGGGCTCTGGGAGCGGCCATAAATAGGCCAGAAGGCTGGGAGGTGGGTTTACCTTCCCGGGTGCAACTACAAGAATTTCACAACCTGGAGGCCACGAAGAGTCTGGCCGGTGGCTGCTACCAGGGGCCAGCCCGGGTTAGGCGGGAAAGCATGGACATCACAGCCAGATACCCGGATTTGCACCCAGCCATGCCATGCGGCCTTCTCCTTTGTTAGGGGCAGCGAGCCTTTGTGGTGACCCATGAAATGCCTGGCCGATCGCCAGTCACGTAACGGTCGCTCCGTAAGTCAGTCGCTCAACAATTGATGTTTGTGGAGCTTGGGTAACGGGCCAGGCTCTGTCTGAGATGCCGGAGACGGAGTGGGGAGCAAAAGCAACATGTTCCTGTCGTCATGAGGTTTCCCGTCTAGCAGGGATTAGCTTTTCTTCCCTTCTCCCTGCGTCCTCAGTGGAGCTCTAAAGACCCGTTAGTTAACTCACAAACTTCTATTCATTCCATCTCTGGGTTCAATCAAAAATGGAATCTTTGAGGAAGAGGGCTAAATACAGAGGATCTTCCTCTCTGCAGTAGAAGGTTCCACAACAGAGAGGATCCACATTTGTATTCTATTAAGCAGATGAAGCATTTCTTGATCCCTTCTTCCATTCATTTATGTATACATTCCTTGATTCACTCACTTATGCATTTAACAAACATCGGTGGGCTTCCAGCGTTAGAAGATATGATGCGGGAGAGAACTGCCAACAGGAAGGCTCCAGCGACGGTAGGGAAGATATTCAAGCCCCCGGAGCACCCGCTTGTGGCTGGGCCCTGCTCTGCTTCAGTTTGTGAGTTTGCAGGATTATCTTGTCTAGCACAGAGCTGAGTGTTGCCACCCTCACCTCCGAACAAAGTTCAGGCAGTGCCACTCAAGTCAACAGCTGGGTCCTGTTTTCCCCAGTAGGAAACTGCACATGTATGTCTACGGTTCAGACGCTAAGTCACCTGCCCCAAGCCCCAGCACAGCTGAGTCGGGACCTTTAAAGCCCTCAGGTCAAGTCCAAAGTCCAATCATCACAATGGCTCAACAAAAAAGATTAGTTTTAGCTTTTGCCTAATAGAACGGTTATCTGTAAAGACAGGGCCGTTCAAGTCCCACTTATAAGTTCACTTATAAATTCCCCACTATAGGGAATGAGGCCAGTGGATCTAAAACCGAAGTGGGCACCAGGATCTCCCCGAGGGCTCATTCAAACGGATTACAGTTTGCCTTCCTTCCCCCTTCGCCTCCTAGCTTCTGCTTCAGTGGGTTTTGGAGCAGGCCCCAAAGATTTGCATTTCTCACAGGCTCCCTGGAGATGCGGATGCTGATGATGCTGGCTCCACCCTTTGAGAACCACTGGTCTAAGCCAGCTACTGAGGAGTCAAGCTAGCATTATTGTTTTTTATTAATAATTAATTTGTTCGTTAAGTATTTAGCCCTGACGCTGCACGAGGCAGCGGAGATACAGTGGTGAGACCAAACAGATTTGATTCCTCCCCTTTTAGAACTTCTGTGGGGCAGATGTTAACCCATATTTCACAAATGAATATCAGACTGAAACTGATTGGGGTCTAATGCCACAAAGGTGCTACGAGACTGTGTCAATCTAGTGTGCCCAGTTACGTACGCCCAAGAAGGCATCCCTGGGGAAAGGCAGAGCGTAGGAGTTATCTAGGTAAAGAGTGGCAGGAATAGTGTTCCCGGCGGGGGGGACAGCATGTGTGAAGGTCCTGTGGTGAGAGGAGGCCTGTGAGCAGGAAGCCTGGGAAGCAGCCAGTTTGGCTGGAGTAGAGATGAGAGGGAGCGTGCTGAGGTGAGACCCGAGAGGCAGGCGAGGGTTGGAACGCACACACACGGTTGGGTGGGCTCCAGGCTGGTGCGTCACCCCCGGCGATCAGGTCTCCACCTTGCTTCACGGGCTGGGTGACCATGCTCCTGTCTTCCTCACTTCTGCCAAGTCTTTCTTCTGCCAAGTGTGTTCGCTGCTGAGGAGGTAGGACCCTTCACTGCTTCTACTGCCAGCCCTCCTGAGCCACCTAGTCTTCTACGTGAACTCCGTTTCCCCGGGACCTCCTTCCTTTACTGCAAGACACCCACCTGTGCTCAGGAGCAGCCCTCACACGCTGGGCTGTGCACACGTTCTGGGGCACCCCTGACGGACCTGCCCAGGCCCAAATGCTCGCTTCTTGCCTGACGCTCCTCACATCTGGATTCCACCTGTGAGCGCCCATTTTCTGCCCCAAACTGCCAGGCACAGCTGCCCCATCTAGGCCCGTTGCTCTTTCCTCTGGGTCTGCGGAAATGCAGAACAGACCCCAGCAAGGGGCGACCTATAGCCTACTGCCCACTCCCTCCTCCTCACCTGCCACTCACTGCTCAGGGCAGTGTGACCTTGTAGCTATTCCTGAAACCTTCCTGCCTCAGGGCCTTTGCATATGCTGGAATCGCTGCCTGAACAGCCTTTCCCCAGCTCTCCTTAGAGCTGGCTCCTTCTCATCCTTCACGTCTTAACCCACATGAGACTTTCCCCAGAGACGCTGTAACTATCCACACCACCTGAAATGGCAGCCCCAGATGGCCTCTCTTTCAGTTCCCTTTGCGCTTTCGCGTCTATACCAAAGACACTCTTCAGTATCTATCACGGGCTGCGATTATTCTATTTGTCTGTCTCTTCCGCCAAAATGTAAGCCCCATGAGACGGGGACCGTGTTTGTGCTGCCTGTTGTCGTATCCTCAGCCCTTGTCATCCTGCCGGACACAGTGTTAGTTCTCAGCAAATACTGATGGATTGTATGAGTGGATGATGAGTGAATGAACGCAAGGCAACGAGGAAAACATTTTAAGAACGGCATTCTGCATTGCTATCTGAGTGCTTCCTTCAAAGGGAACTCACATTTCCTGAGCTCTACTGTATCCCGGGCATTGCAGAATTAATCTTTATGACATGTCTGTGAGACAGGCATTTTAACTGCACTTTTGTGAGGAAGAAATTGGAGGTTCTCGGATGCAGCGCCTTGCCCAAGCTTACGTAACTAGTGCACCCGGAATTCAAACCGCGGTCCAGTGTGATTCCAGAGCCATGGCCTTTTCACCGTTCTGAACTTAAGATTTAATAAATGTTCAAATCAGTACAACTACGGAAGCACTGCTTTAGCAAGCAGCTCTGGGAAGCAGTCAATTTCATGCAGTCTCTGAAGGATTCTGTTTTAAACGCTGTCTTTAAAAATAAATACAGAGGGGCGTGTGGGTGGCTCAGGCGGTTAAGCGTCTGACTTCGGCTCAGGTCATGATCTCGCGGCTCTTGAGTTCGAGCCCCACTTTGGGCTCTGTGCTGACAGCTCAGAGGCTGGAGCCTGCTTCCGATTCTGTGTCTCCCTCTCTCTCTCTGCCCCTCCCCTGCCTGTACACGCACACACTCTCTCTCTCTCTCAAAAATATTTTTTTTTAAGATTAAAAAAATATAGACATGCCCGGAGTTAGACTATGTTACTTCAAACAGAGAGGCCAAGAGGTTTCTATTTTTAAGCTCCTTTTTTGTCATGCTAGATGTTAGGAGAGGCCCCAGGTCAGGGTCCTACACATTGGTCCTAAATTTCCAGCCACTGGACAACCCCTTGCTGAGTGCTTAGGGCACACCGGACACTGGGTGTGCTGAGCTGGGGGTACACAGATGAGGGTTCACGTTCATCCCTGCCATCCAGGAGTTCATACCAGGGAAGACAGACTAAATGGACAGCCCAGACCTAATCACCATAGCTCCAACAGAGCCACTTGGGGTGACAGAAGATGGTCCTTCTGTTGAGTGCTAATGGGTGAGAGGAATCGGCCAGGTGCCAAAGGAAAGTCATTCCGCAGAAGACACTGTGATAGGCTGACCTGGGGCAGTGAGCATCGAATAGGCCCAAGGAGGAGGCTCTGGGACACCAACCATGGTAACGGGAGGCCCTGTCTGGACACCGTCTCCTTCCAGAAGGACACAAGAGTGTGTGCCACAGCTGCTAACTAACATGGGGGTGGTGGGCAGGTGTGGGGGTGGCCTTAGGGCCCTAGGGCACTGGGCTCAGGAATCTGAATTTCATCTCAGTATTTAGCACTTCGTTTGCTACTTACTTGCCGTGTGACCTCAGGTGAGTTCCTTAGCCTCTCATTGTCTAGCGTCCCCAACTGTGGAAGGGAATGCAGCTGATAACACCCACCCCAGGCTCCTCTGTGAAGCCTGGGTGAGTTTCTGCACATGGAACATGATGCTTATGGTAGCTTCTGGGTCCACAGTAGCTTTTTTTATTTTTTCAGAGCGGGCCAACTTAAAGAGAATTCTTTCAGTGTGGGAAGAGTATAAACGAAAGACTGCAAAACGTCAACAACCCCAACCATTAGCCCAGACAACCATTAGGGTGGGTGGAGCCACCAGCCCAGAAACCACTAGAGCAGAGGCTGGCTACCCTTGACCCTGCTAGCACAAGGTGTCCCACGTTCAAGAGCACTTACGAGGTGCCAGCCACAGTGCTGAGCGCTTCCTGAGTCCCGTCTCACTGAGGACGCTTCACGCCAACCCTGTAACCCAGGGGCCATCATCATCCCCACGTAATGGATGAGAAAACTGAGGCTCCACGGGGTCAGGCAACATACTGAAGGGGCCACTGCAGGGAATGGGATTTGGGCGGGGGGCGGGGACTCTGGTTTGAACCATTACATCCATTACATCTAGAAACCAAGTGAGGGCACCAAAGGCAGAGCCGGCTTTCCTAAGATGAGCTGTGGTCAGCCCTGGTGACCGTCATTGCCACTAGTGGGCACACGGGCTCCCAGCAGGGGCTGCACAAAGCTGGGGGCTGCTCCCCGGGCAGCCTGCAGGGGAGTTTCAAAATGGATCAAGTGCCCCACCCCCATTCAGTCATTACAAGCCCAACCAGGGGATTAGACAGAATGGGACTCAGTCGGGTCTATTTGGAATCAGGGCCTCCCTTACTCATATTCACAGTGAAGGGCACCTTAGCAGCTCCTTTTAATGGAACGATCATGAAATTCACAAGCAGAGTTAGGCAGCCCCTCAGAAAGTCAGGGGCCATCCTCATTTCTTAGCACCTCCCCCCCCCGCCCCCGCCGCTGAAAATCTCTGGGGGTGTCCGCCTTGCCTGTGTGTGTGTGTAATCATAATTACACAGAAGCAGACGTGGGGGGGAGGGCTTTCTCCTGTTGTCATAAATCTCGGCACACTCAAAGCCCAAACAGAAAGAGCCCCAGCTCAGAGATGCTCTGGGCCCAATTCAGCAGAAGGATATTTGGGAATGGCTGATCGAAGGCTCCCATGCCTGTCCTTCCTGGGTCCCCAACCCCTCGCCCCTTTATCACGGATGCCCCTCTTTGCTTCCCGCCCACGTGGATCCAGTGAAGAATCCCTCCTGAGCGGCGGTAGGGCCACCAGGGCCGTTCCTGGGAGAGAAGCCCTTGACTTTGCCAAGAAGTTAATTCCCCCTTTATTGTTACTTTCATCTCCAGCTGGATCCTTGGCTCTCCGCTCAGTGCTTCTCTTTCTGAATTCCTTTTTCTCTGAGAACTCATCTGTGCCATCACTTTAACCACTTCCAAGCTCATGATGGGAGGATGAGGTCATTGCAGGGTGCCCGGCACAGGGTGCAGGGCAGGCTTCTCCCAGAGAAGTGTGTGGCACACACAAGGGTCTGACACACGGAAGGCAGCGTGCAGTTCCTGGCACATAGTAGGCTTCTCACAGGAGGCTGAGCACAGTACCCCGTGCACAAGAGGCTTTTCACAGGGTGCCAGGCACCGTCCCTGGACCATAGGAGGCTTCTTAGTACATGTTGACAATTACTTGTCAATACCACCTCTAGGAATCCTTTCTCGATCACATTCTCTGTTCTCTCTGAGTGATTACACCTCATCGATTTCCGCTGCCTCAGTTTCTTTAGCTGTAAAACGAGGCACTTTGCCCTCACAGCACCACCCGAGGTGCATGAACGATGGTCTAATCGTATGGGTCAGCAGAGTGGAGGAGACCAGCAAAGCCGGGTGCATTTATCCTCCGTGCTTGTGCCCGCGCACCTTGCTGGGATTCGCTCCCCACCTCCCTCTACCTACTTAGATGCTTCCCATCCATCATGCTCCCCGCTGGGGGCTGCCCACCTCGGTGGTCTCTCTCGTCTTTCTCTCCTCTATTTTGGAAGTCCTTACTGCTGGATGCACAGAATCCAAAGCTTCTCACTCTTCTGTTTGGTTCAAGCATAGTCAGACAGAGAAGGGGTGAGTGACGTAAAGGTTCGGTCTGTGTTACAAACACTTTGCCCCCATTCCCTTTACAATGCGTGCTGGAAGGCTGAGAACGGGTTCAAAGCAGCTTAGCAGTTGACTGGCTTATAAAAGAGTTTGCATCTTGGGGCGCCCGGGTGGCTCAGTCGGTTGGGCGTCCGACGGCTCAGGTCATGATCTCACAGCTCGTGGGTTCGAGCCCCGCGCGTGACTCTGTGCTGACAGCTCAGAGCCTGGAGCCTGCTTTGGATTCTGTGTCTCTCTCTCTGCCCCTCCCCTCCTCATGCCCTGTCTCTCTCTCTCTCTCTCTCTGTCAAAAACAAATAAACATTAAAAAAAAAAAAAAATTAAAACAAAGAGTTTGCATCTCAAGAAATTTTATGTTAATATTTTTTTTTCCTGGTGGATCACCACCAAACGCTGTAACAAACAATAACCGTGGTCCAAAAAAGTAAAGAGAAATCACTCTGCATTCTACTCCTGCTGCATATTAGTGGTTAGATTTTTTCCCACCACTTTCATTTTTTTTTTTTTTTGTCTTTATGCGCCAAGAATTTATACAAAGCTGTGATCACAGTGTAGCTGGAATTTGGCATTCTGGGTTTTTTTTTTCCCACTCAATATGCTACCATGGGTATTTTTTCATTTTGTGACAGAATCTTCATAATTATCTTTTTTTTTTTTTAGGGGCTGCATAATATTCAAGCGCGTGGGTGTCGCATAATGCACTGAAGTGTTTTCCTCCTGTTGATAATGGAGGCTGGTTCTGAAATCTCAGTGTAACAGACAATGCTATAATTCACCTTGTTGGCATATGTTGAACACCTACCATGAAGCCAAAGCATTTACTTGGTTCTGCAACAGGCAGCAGGTGCCTGTTCCTTTGGATTTTTTCCTGAGGGCAGGGGTGGTAGGAGAGAGAATGAACCTATCTGTGGCTTCCTAGTGATTTTTAATTGAATCCCAGGGTCTCTGCTTAAAAACATAAGGAATTGTCGGAAGTCGCATTTGAAAGAAGGTGGTGGGAACGCGGGTCTCAGATGCTGTCCCTTTCTGCTCCTCTGACATCAGCAGGAATCATTGACTCGGGCTAGGAAGGTAGGTCAAGGACAGTAAAGGGATAAGGGGATAGGAAAATTCTCCATGGAAAATGGGGAAGGCAGACTGTCCCTTTTTTTTTGATATTTTAATATTTATTCATTTTTGAGACAGAGAGAGCGAGCACGTGAGCAGAGGAGGAGCAGAGAGAGAGGGAGACACAGAATCCGAAGCTCCAGGCTCCGAGCTGTCAGCACAGAGCCCAATGCGGGGCTTGAACCCACAAACCAGGAGATGGTGACCTGAGCCAAAGTGACCTGAGCTCAACCTACTGAGCCACCCAGGTGCCCCAGACTGTCACTTTTTCAGAAGAGTAGCTACCTCCTGACCTGGTTTTCCCATTGCTTCCCACACTGTAGTACCTCCAGCTCCTCTGGTCTCCTTTCAGATTCTTGAATTTAACCAAGTCTTTCCTGACCCTGAGCCTTAGCACGTGCTATTCAACTTAGTCAGAAATGCTGTTCCTTTGGCCCGTTTCTCATCCTTTAATGCTCAGCCCGAGTCTCACTCTTGGATGAACGCTATGTCTAATCTCCCTGTCTGCATATGTTCACCAGCAGCCTGCATATCTCCATCAGAGCACGTATCAAAAGCATAAACCAAGCCGTTTTTAAAATAGTGTTTTTATCCCTCTTCCCCAGCTAGACTCAAAGCTCCACAAAGATAGTGACGCTCAAGGTGGTTTTTTGCCGGATCTTCTGCCCTAGCACAGGACCTGGCCCATCAGAGACACTTGGTAGTAAGCAGGTCAGGGTACGAATGGAGGAAAGGATGTTTGCCAAATTATCACTTAAGGGGATAAAGGCAAAGACTGCTGGAGGGACACTGGCAGTCCATTTTCCCGATCACAGCTCCAGAGATGCAAGTTACAAAAAGGAAGAGCTACCTGAGGGTTACGGAAATAGGCGAAAGTGTATGCCGGAAGTCTTTAAAATATGCCTGCAGTATCTACATATCTGAGAAACAGGTGGCGAACTTCTAATATCGAGTTTTGGAGCTCTCTTTCCATGTCCTACTGGAGATATCGGGACAGACTTGAACTCTGTGCAAATCTTTAAAATTAAAAAAAAAACAAATCGGAGGGGCTCCTGCGTGGCTCAGTGGGTTAAGTGGCCAACTTCAGCTCAGGTCATGATCTCATGGTTCGTGAGTTCGAGCCCTGCATCGGGCTCTGTGCTGACAGCTCGGAGCCTGGAGCCTGCTTCGGATTCGGAGACCCTTCTCTCTCTGCCCCTCCCCTGCTCACACTCTGTCTCTCTCTCTCTCTCTCTCTCTCTCTCTCTCTCTCTCCCTCAAAAATAAACATGAAAAAAAAATTTTTTTAAACAAATCTGAAAATCCAGACCATCAGAAGGCTCTCCTTTCCAAAAAACTCCCCAAATGTCACCTAATCTGTCTCAGTCTGTCACCCTCACCAGACCTCTCATCCTCTAGTCCTTCAGGTTGCAGTAAGTTCTTCAGTATGAGGCTAGACGGACAGCTGAATTTCTCTGTATCTTACAACTTACTGCTGGGCAAAGAAAAGACCAGAACAACGGCCCTGAGACACCTCTGGAACCCCTCAGGAGCTGGGGGTGGAGAAGGGCAGCAGCAGAGGTGTGACCCACAAACCATCTCAAGGCAGCTGGGTTTTCTACCTGATTCCCTGTGTTGACGTGCACAAGGCCATAGCCGGTGGCTCCTGGATCGTGAGTCGGGTTATAAACCAACGTTCCCCGCCGTAGGAGATAAACAACATGATCTCCCTGCCTGCAGCCTCCCACCCCCCCACCCCCCTTCATTCTCTGCACTCCTCAAAACTCCAATCTGATCATGTCACCATGTTGGCCCTTCGGCGGTCCTCAGTCACACCCAGGTTGGAGTCCGCATGTCCTTGGTCTGGTATGTGAGTGAATGAGAAATAAACCTCTCTGCGTTAAGGTCGCGTTAGAGCAGCTATCGTAATTTCGCGCCGGCCGGTCACCCGACCGCACTGCTCCTCAGTATCGTCCTCTCCACATGGCGGTACCAACAGGGTTGCGAGAATCCAACGAGCTCATACGTGTGAAGTGTTCAGCACAGAGCTGGTGTTATCAAGCCCCCGGCGTATGTTTCCTAGTATTACTATCACTGTTACTATCACGGGCCCTCGTCTAAATGAGCGCCGCTGGTTTTTTTAAGAGGCAGAAGAGCAAGAACCAACCTGGCCCTCTCTAGAGCACACACCTTACCTTTTCACTTCTTGCACGTAGTCTGCATTTCTGTCAAAGAGGTGGGTCATGGAGCCTTTGATTGCTTCGTGCTTGAAAGTAGAAGCTGTTCCAAAGACAGTCACATTGGGGACAGTGGAACACAGCTGAGCCACAGCTTGACCCTGGAAGTGAAACACAAGACACCGGTCACACGGGAGGGTCACCGCCCGACAACCGGTCTCGCTGGGTGTAGGGCAGGACTTCTCAACCCTGCCGCTGTTGACCTCTCTGAGGCTGGATGAGTCTTTGTCGGGCTCCGCTGGGCTTTGTAAGGTGCCTACGCAGCATGTCTACCAAATTATTCTACCTCCACCTGCTAGCTGCCGATAGCTCCCCTCAGTTTCGATCACCAAAAACGCCAAGATGTCCCCGGGGTGGGGACAGAGTCTCCCTTGGCTGACAACTAGGGGTGGTGGAGGAAAATCCACGTAAGCCAGCAAAGCCACGGTATCAAGACTCAACAACTATCATTTAACCACACTGAGCCTCAGGCTCCTCATCTAACCTTAGCAGTAATGGTACCTGCTCCATACGGGTCTCGGGAGCTGTTTGGGTTTGGATTCCCCCCGAAGCCGACCCCGACGCAAAGATTTGAGAGCAAGTACCTCATCTGGAATACGACCACAGGAAATACCAGGGTATCAAGACAGAAATCGAAGGCGGCCAATAAAGGGTGTGCTTCCAAGGCAGCACCCAGTGGGTAACTCGAACTCAGTCCCTCTGAGGACCCCCGTGCACAAGTGTAGAATACACTCAGAGGTATCCCAACCACATGGTGAGGAGGCTGGAGTATTTTGATCCCCCGAATTCCCCTCTGTATCAGTCGGGGGTTGCTTCTACAGCGGTAACTCCCAGGCACCTCTCTGGCTCGTGGAGGCAAGCATGCTCCCACAGCCGGACGGAAGCCCTAAGTCAACAACCGTCAGCAATGTTGAGCGCGGAGAAGATATGGTGACGGGATCGGCTACACGGTGTATCAAATGAGGCAATATGTCACACGGGTCAAGCACCTGGCATAACACATGACACGTAAATCTGAATCATCTGTACTCCTTTGGGGCTGGGATGTCCAGGCATATGAGGAAGAGCCCAACGCATGAGGTTTAAATATTGAGGGGTCTAAGAGACATTACAAATGTAGTTAGACATGGGTGGTTTTTCCATGTCCTGTTTCAACAGGGTCAGAAATGTAAGTCATTGGACAAAATCCTGCGATCATGTGAAGTCAGAAATCTTCCAGTAAAACCCAGTTTGCTGGTAATTAAGGTGCCTTCCCAAACCAGGTACTGTTTCCAGCTTTCCACCTGCCATCTTAAGGAGGCAGAAATTATTCTACCGAAGTCACCTGTGAAATGTAACTTCTGCCTAACACTTCATTACATGCCTTCATGTTGGTGGACTAAATCAGGTTGGCAGGCCTATTTCTGGAAATGTTTTTTTTTTTTTTTTCTTCCCAGCATTCGCAATGAAAGGCAACACTGAGAGAATCATAGAATGTCAGAGCTGGAAAATCATCCAATTATCCCCACCCCATCATTGTTTTACAGATGAGGGAAAGGTGACTCAGAAAGGTTAAGGTGACTCAGTTTTCAGAGGCAGATCTGAGATGCAAAGCAAGGTCTCCTAACTTCTAGTTATTGCCATTTTCAATAATGCCATGCTGTCTACTTATTTTGACATTTTAAGCTAAGCAGATTTTGAAGTTGGTCCCTAAAATAGACCTGTTACTGATTTGGAGGTCAACATTTTAAGACATGGGCATGAACCGAAGACTCCAGACAGGCTATCATTCTGTGTTCTAAGAATAGCTTTGGTATTTGGTTCATTTTTTTTTTTTTTTCATTTGATTTTAGAGAACAAATACGGGACTCTCCTTCTTGGCGAGTGGAAATATCAACAACCATTGCAGCAATCCCCTAAAACTCGACAGGGTTTGGAGGGTTAACCTCTTTTGTGCTGGGATGAAACATCAGAACTAGTTGATCCCTCCTGCCCACTGTCCTTAGGCCAACATGACTTTTACTCCCACAACTACTTTTCCAAATTCCTATTATGTACTGGTCACACTGTGCTGTAGATGGATGTGGGAGTATCGGGAATGAATATGCACCCTAATCTCTATCCCTGGGCCCCCCCCCACCGAGCCTCAGATTTGTGTACTGAATGACCACTGGGCTGTCTGTCTCTACCTGGCTATCCAAAACACATCGAATTCAACTCATCCAAAACATTATTCTTGGCCATCTGCAAATGACTTACTCCTTGCATTGATTCGCCGGTTGCTATTGTAACATAATACCACAAACTGGGTGGCTCAGCCAACAAATTTGCTTCCCACTCGTGGAGGTCAGAAAGTCCAAAATCAAGGCGTCGGGAGGGTTGCGTCCTCCCAGTGACTACGAGCAAAGGGTTTGATCCAGCTCTCTCTGCTTGGCTTGTAAATGGCTCTCTTCTCCCAAGGCCTCTTCACATGGTCTTCCCTCTACGCCAACCTGTGTCCAGATTCCCCCCGTTCTTAGAAGGACGCCAGTCCTATCATTTAAACTTGATTACCTCTCTGAGGACCCTACTGCCGAATAAGGACACATTCTGAGATAGTGGCGCTCAGGACTTCCCCATATCAGTGGGGTGGGGCATGGTTCAACCCGTAACATTCCTCTTCCTGTACCTCCTGCCTCAGCGGATGAAAACTGTACCATTCGCCTGTCCCTCGGCTGAAGTCAGGAGTCTGGGGGTCGCTGGACTCCTCTTGGTCCCTTGGCCTCACATCCAGTTAGTGTACTGCATCCACTCCACACCCTTGTGACCATCACTTCGTAGTCTGGGTTGTTGCATTTCCTCACCTGGATGATGACACCACCCTTCTGGCTGGCCTGGCTGTGTCCGCATCACCCTCTGGACAGAGTGGTTTTTCTCAAACTCAACCCTGAGCATCTCGTGACTGGTCGCAAAGCTTCCCAATGCCTATCACTGGCTTTCAGAAAGAAAAGCACACCCTTCGGTTCATCCCACGGGCCGGCCCGCTGGCAGGTGGCCCAGTCCATCTCACTAACATGGCTTCCCTCCACTTCTCCAGTCTCTGCTCCCTAACGAGACACGGCCCTCGATCCACCCCCGACTGCCATTCGCCGAGCCTGGTGCTATGTGACCCTCATTCCGTGGTGTCCTCAAAATGAACTTCAAACCCAATTTTGATGAGGAGGAGAATGAGGTTCACAGAGGTTAGGCACCCAGTCCAAGGCCAGTAGGGTAAGATGGCGGACTTTGATCTCCTGTACCCACCAGTTGAGCAACCTTGAGTAACATGTCAGTTCATCTGGTCTTTCATCTTAAAATGGAGCGTGCAATGCTATATATAAGGTTCTTGTGGGACGATTTGATATAACGCATCCAAGGGCTTAGAATGCTCAGTATTTGCTCTCACTACTACTTTGAATGCTGTTAGGTTTTCTTGCTATTATTATTATTACGCCAGCAGAAGCAGCAAATTCATGATCCTATTCTCCTGAACGTGTAACGCTATTTGAGCATCGACACTAGCTTCTCACAGGCTGTCCCCTCCCTATCCATGCCTATTCTTCCCACTTTCTTCTTCAGACCACAGCCCCTGCCCCCCGCCCCGGCCCCCCACCACCTAGGCAACTCCTCTTCTAGAAAACCTCCCCAGGCGCTTGCCTCCACCGTCCCTTGGTGCCTCCTTTAGTGCTACCATAGACCTGGGGTTCCTTCCTCTGGGACAGCGGCCACCATGGCTTTCTGTGGCTGCTAACTGATCTGTCTGTGAGCCCCATGAGGCCAGGGACCGCGCCATATATCTGGCTCTGTACCCCAGTGCCCAGGGCAGAGCCTGACACATAAAACGGATTTGGTAACACCTGATGAATGAATGCATGAGAAACAGGAATGTGATGTGACAGGGAAGTCCCTTATCAGTTTGCAGATCGCTACGTCCTTTAGCATTGCAGAGTAGGAGTAGAGCACAGATTCGATTAACGTATCTAGTATCTCACCCAAGCAGAACTTTACCATTTCCATTTTATTTTTAAAAATTTTTTGAACGTTTGTTCATTTTCTGAGAGAGGGAGAGAGACAGAGCACAAGTGGGGGAGGGGCAGAGAGAGAGAGAGGGAGCCACAGAATCTGAAGCAGGCTCCAGGCTCTGAGCTGTCAGCACAGAGCCTGACGCGGGGCTTGAACTCACAAACCGCGCGATCATGACCCGAGCCAAAGTCGGACGCTTAACTAACAGCCACCCAGGTGCCCCACCGTTTCCACTTTAAATAAGAAGAAACGTGTGGTAGCAAACTGAGATGTTATAAGTAACTGGGTTACTTATATGTTTATATAGCATCTATGAGTATTTTACATAATACAAAATGCAGAAATATAAATATGTATAATTAGAATATATAATTAGTATACGTATATGTATAATCAGTATTATATAAACATGTACGTGTATATAAGTAGTAATTTTAGTATAGAATACTCCATTTGTAAAATATTAGTATGATAATAAAATAATATTATATAGTCATATAATTAATGTAAATAGCAAAACATGCAAGTATTCTACACGATATTATATGATAACATATTCTTATGTAAATAACAATGGGTAGAAAACCAAATTCAGTGGACACCTGTTTGTAGCACCCCCCCCCACCCCGCTTGAGCTCTCTATTAATTCACTAAGGCAATGAGAGGCCCTTGCAAGATCCTCAATGATCTAAGGTAAATAATACTCAGCACTCTGTATTTAAGCACAATGTGTGCTTTTCCTCACATGTATAGCGAATCTGTACTCTCCCTCCTCCAACTCCCAAGGTGAGTGCCTCTAATTTATCCTCGTTTCTCCCACGTGCCTAGCAAATAGCACGGACTCACTAAACATTTGTGGAAGGCGGAATGAATTTTCAATAAAAAGGATTTTGCAATTTACCTGCAGACCCAGAACATACAGTGAACAAGACAATCCATTCTCCCAGCAACAGCAGCAAATAGAGATCTGCATGTACTTGTTTTAAATTTCTTTTCCTTTCTCTCTCTAGAGCGTGAGAATTCCACAGCAAGCCTCTTCTCTCCCCTGTGGCTGGTGATACAGCCAGTACAGCAGCTGACA